GTCTGTCGCGCGTTTTTTTACCGCGATTCGCGGTAAAAAAGTCGCGCGTTTCCAAAGGCTACTTGGCTGTAGCCCAATGGAAACGCGCAAACAAAACGGCCCAAAGTAGTACCCGCGCCTTTTCAGGCGTGGGCCGTTTTGTAGCGCGTTAGGGGACGGGCGGAAATACGCCGAGGTGGGAACCAGACCCATTGACTACAACGGGATTTATATTTTTGAGCGTTTTGTAGAGCGTTCGTCGAGCGTAGAACGCGCTACGAAACGATCGGGTGTGAACGAGGGCTAACGCGCTACGAAACGGCCCACGCCTGAAAAGGCGCGGGTACTACTTTGGGCCGTTTTGTTTGCGCGTTTCCATTGGGACACAGCCAAGTAGCCTTCGGAAACGCGTGACAGGCGCGCATATGCAATACGCCTAGGTGTGAACGAGACCTTAGAGACGGGGGCGGAAATACGCCGAGGTGGGAACGAGACCCATTGAATACAACGGGATTGAGATGTTTGAGCGTTTTGTAGAGCGTGCGTCGAGCGCAGAACGCGCTACGAAACGTTCGGGTGTGAACGAGGGCAGCCCAAAACCGTTTTTTTTTTTAAAAAGTGTATCTAAAACCAAAACACGAAATTGTAATTGTTAGCCCGTATAGATGTGACTGGATTAGTCTTTGCGGGATAAGAACGTAGAAAACGTTTCATGGTGGTACAACATGAGCCACAACATTGAAGAACGGGACCGAAAGCATCTGTGAAAGTTATAGGACCTGCGATATAAATCCCGAATAACAATAATAATAATAAAAAACACAACACAAGCCGCAATATTTATATTTGCCACAAGGTGGCGATCTCACTTATGGTTAGCGGAATGCACACAGGAAGTGACGCGATATATAGACAGGAAGTGATGGTGTGTATAGAGAGGAAGTTAAAAAGGTGGGAAGGGCTGTCAAGTAGGAAAGTGATGTCAGTTTTAGACAGGAAGTTTGGGGTGAGAGGTGAGCTGGGAGGAAGTAGAGAGGAGACATTGCTGGAACTGGCAGCAGAGGAGGTAAGAAGATATTATTTTATAGTAACCCCCTCCCCCCCTCGTCATGTATTTTATGTTTATACCCGGTAACCCCCCCCTCCGTCATGTCCGTCCTCGTCCTTTATATTCATTTATCTCCAGCAACCGCTACACACAAATATATTTATCTTCACAGAGCCTCCACCTCACTGCCTGACCACAGAGGTGACCAGAGCCAAGAAGGTTCTAGAAGTCAAAGAGGAGATCGTACAGGAAGATCTCACCGTCCCCCACCATGATCAGGTAGGTGGGACTGAGCTTGACTATACTTTCAGTAATGAGATAATATTCCTCTATGTAATTGCTTATTTTATCATCTTTGGGGGGTTTAGGCTGTAGAACTGAAAGACGTCAAAGTTGAGGTCAAACAGGAAGAAGAAGAGACGTTGGTGGGTGGAGCTCAGCAGTCTATGTTGGAGGGAGGTCCTCTGTGTTCCCGGGATTCCACCCAGGAACATCCAAACTATACAGAAAATGATCAGGTCAGTGGGACTGGGCAAAAAAAAAAATAATTCTATGAGAGGAGAGTCTTCTCTGTAATGTCTTAGTATTGGAAGTGAAGTTTTCCAGATGTTATAATCGTTTTGGAATTTAGGAAGAAAAACTCGGGAACATCAAAGTCAACGAGGTGGAAGAAGAAGAGACGTTGGTGGGTGGAGCTCAGCAGTCTACGGAGGAGGGGGAGATGATGGTGAAGAGTGAACAGGAGGAATCTTCTCTACATACGGACACAAGTAAGTCATAAACATTTATCCAAACTGGAGCAGACAGGACCCGGAGCAGTTGCCTACGGCAACCAATCTTATTTTTATTGCTGTTACGTCAAAGAATCCTTGAACAAAGTGGAGGTGTAAGGGGTCCCTCCTTTGTTTCTCCTCCTTGTAGATGGTCTCCTGCTTGCTGGTGGTGAGATGGGGGGTTACCCCGACCCTTCCTCTGCCCGTCCTTCCTCTCCCAGAAGGGTACACCTGCTCAACGGCCATCTGGTATCTGAATTTTTCAGGGGTTCCCCCCTCCTTTCTTCCCTGCTGGGGGTGCACTGTGTCCTGTCATTTCAAGTTTCCCTTTTATTCTGTAGTTGGGCCAGTTAGAAGTTGTTTGGCTGTTGCTCTCCCCTCCCCTCCCCTCTGCATCTGTTGTCATGGCTCCATGAAATGAGGTGGGAGGAAGGTCCATCTCTATGGTCATTACTCTGTGAAATGTGGTGGAGGAAGGTCCATCTCTATGGTCATTACTCTGTGAAATGTGGTGGAGGAAGGTCCATCTCTATGGTCATTACTACATGAAATGAGGTGGAGGAAGGTCCATCTCTATGGTCATTACTACATGAAATGAGGTGGGAGGAAGGTTCATCTCTATGGTCATGACTCCATGAAATGAGGTGGGAGGAAGGTCCATCTCTATGGTCATTACTCTGTGAAATGTGGTGGAGGAAGGTTCATCTCTATGGTCATGACTCCATGAAATGAGGTGGAGGAAGGTCCATCTCTACAATGTCATCATGTCCCATGTTCTCCTGTGTGGTGTGGTTGTATCTGGCTTGTATTTATATTGTCATGTGACGATTGCTCCCGGTTCCATGACAGAGCTCTGTACACATGTTTAGCGTTCCACCAACATGTATGATTTCTGAATGTGAGGCATGAAGAATACTTCTAAATTGGATTGAAACCTTGTTTTCCAACAGGAGGAGGTGACGTCCGGAATATCTCTGAGGATCATCTGATTTTATCTCCAGATTATAATGACGTCACACAACACGTTCCGGGAGGAAGTCTCCGGACATCAATGGATCCCTCTAATCTTCAGCAATCATCTGATATCTCCCAGACCGGAACTCCAGATACACATCTGAGATCTCACAGTGCGGAGAGATCAATAGATCCACCTAATCCCAAAGAATCCTCCTCAAGGCCTGGAGGGGATCACACAGGAAAGAGTTCATTGTCATGTTTAGAGTGCGGGAAAAGTTTCACTAAAAATGTCTACCTTAAAAGACATCAGAAATATCACATGGGCGAGCTTCCCCATTCATGTTTAGAATGCGGGAAATGTTTCACTCACAAAGAAAGCCTTGTTATACACCAGAGAATTCACACAGGCGAACATCCTTATTCATGCCCAGAGTGTGGAAAATGTTTTAGTGAGCGAGCAAACCTTGTTACCCACCAGATATGTCACACAGGCGAGCGTCCCTATTTATGTTCAGAGTGCGGGAAATATTTCACTGCGAAAAGAAGTCTTCTTAGACACCAAAGAATTCACATGCGGGGGCACCCTTATTCATGTTCAGAATGTGGTGAAAGTTTCACCCACAAAGGAACCCTTCTTACACACCAGAAAATTCACACAGCCTGGCGTCATTATTCATGTTCAGAATGCGGAAAACATTTCATTCAGATAGAACAACTTGATAGACATAAGAGAATTCACAGAGGTGAGCATCCCTATGCATGTTCACAGTGCGGGAAAGGTTTTACTAACAACAGAGACCTTTGTAGACATGAGCTCCTTCATACAGGCGAGCGCCCCTATGCATGTTCAGAGTGTGGGAAATGTTTCGCTCTTAAAGGAAACCTTCAGGCACACCAGAAAATCCACACAGGGCGTCCTTATTCATGCCCAGAGTGTGGGAAAAGTTTCATTCAGAAATCACGTCTTCTTGAACACCAGAGAAGCCACACAGGGGAGCGTCCTTTCTCATGTTCAGAGTGCAGGAAATGTTTCACTATCAAAGGAAACCTAATTACACACCAGAAAATTCACACAGGCGAGCGTCCTTATTGTTGCCCAGAATGTGGGAGAAATTTCACTCAGAAAGCACGCCTTCTCGAACACCAGAGAATTCACACAGGCGAGCGTCCTTATTCTTGCCGAGAATGTGAGAAAAGTTTCAGTCAGAAAGCTCGCCTTGTTGTTCACCAGAGAAGCCACGCAGAGGAGCGTCATTAGTCATGTTCAGAGTGCGGGAAATGTTTTAACCAGAAAGGAGGCCTTGTTACACACCAGAAAATTCACACAAGTTGAAAAGCCCTGGATCCTACTAATCTTCAGGAATCATCTGATATATCAGAGACTGTAACTCCAGATGGACACCTGAAATCTCAGGATGTAGAGATCAACAGATCCATCTCATGCCAAAAAAAATCGTCTTCGAGCCATGAAGGAGCTCTCAGAGGGGGAAGTTCCTTGTCATGTTCAGAGTGTGGGAAAAGTTTTACTAAAAAGAGATACCTTAAAATACATCAGTAAGTTCACAAAAGTCGAGCACCCCTATTCCTGTTCACAGTGCGGGAAGAGTTTCACAGTGCGGGAACTGTTTCACTATGAAAGAACCTTCATACACACCCGGAAATCCACACAGGCGAGCTGTTTTAGTCGGAGAGGAGACCTTTTTAGATACCGGAAGATTCACGTAAGCCAACGTCCTTTTTTTTTTTTTTTTTCCACCTTCATTTTTAGACCGTAGAAAACATTCCACTTACACGGAAAGCCTTCTTCACAAAGACAACACAACAATACTAAACTGTGGTTACACATGGGCAACACGCAGGCGAATGTGACAGCAGGTGGGCAAGAAAGGTGGCTCGTGACAAGACGAGGACAACCGACCGTTCCCGAACAGGGAAGAAGCAACGGCAGCAATACAGGAGCAAGAAAATGCAGAAACATCCAATCGGGGATTCTCTTTCACTATTGGACTTTTTTGTAGGTTGCTATTGGCTGCTGCTTGTCGCCGCTCTTTTACTGAAGAGGCCGGCTTTTTATTGGTCCAGACGATGTATAAGGCCCCATTCACACCGAGCGATTTATGGAGCGATTTTTTTGCAGCGATATCGCTCATATTTCCTCGCTATATCGCTCTATGTAGCTTCACCAATACATTTCAATGTAGCTGTTCACATCTCGTCGCTCAATATCGCTTGTAGCTCGTCGCTCCTACATGACCCTTTTTTAGAGCGATTTTGAGCGATATTGCTCCTTATTGCATACAGCCCAATAGGAAGATGTCGCGCGACACGTCGCTCAAAGTCGCGCGATTTCCATGTCGCTCAGTGTGAATGGGGTCTAACAAGGAACACATAGATTTTTCCTGATTCAGGGGTCTATATATCAATGTTTTCTCCCAAGATTCACACACATCCAGTGGAATCTTATGTGTGACTCACGCTTTATTGTTATTGTATATTAATCAGTTGTTACAAGTTTCTAAAATAAACCAGAAAGCTTCACACTTCAGTGTAAATGTTCCTGTTACATTGGTGGTCAGTGTACATTCCTCTGTTACATTGGTGGTCAGTGTAAATACCTCTGTTACATTGGAGGTCAGTGTACATTCCTCTGTTACATTGGTGGTCAGTGTAAATACCTCTGTTACATTGGTGGTCTGTGTACATTTCTCTGTTACATTGGCGGTCAGTGTAAATACCTCTGTT